TTGCTTCATTAAAAAATGTTGGTGCTTTCTATATTGCCAACCAAATAAATTCTTAGCAATGCATAGAAAGATCTTTAGTCTGTAAAGGGTTAATTCTGTGGGAATTGAAGTCGTTTTTTGCAGAGTTATGTTCTGTCGTCCTCTCATAAACCAGGCGTTATCTAGAAGCAGTGGGAAAAGGCTGTTTTACTACTGGCAGGCATTTATAGCACGTTCACTGAAGTAGTCCTCAGCTGAGTTAATGTAGTGCTGTTTTCAGCTCACTATCACTTTGCATCTTGCTGTTTCAGTTCATTCTGTGTTAAGAGTATTTAGGCTGCACAGCTGTTATACAGATAGATTTATTGTGGAATACAATTCCTTGTGCAGTATTCAAAAGCTGTATTAAGTTGTGAGCGTATCACATTTAGACAAGCAACTGCAAGAGAAAAATAATTATGTACTAAATGCCTATTAATGTTTGAATTGGTACAGAATGTGTCATGGTTTTAAGTTTATGAAGTTCAGAAACACTTGTGGTTCAGAATGCTTAATGGCATTTTTTTAGTTGGGTTTCTTTTAACTCCATAGTCCCTGGGCTTTAAGCTTGTTATGTACCAATTAGGTCATTGATGTTTTTGTTGATGAAAACACATGTAACTTGCTTAAAAAAAAAAAGTACAAACTCATTCCAAGTTATTAAAAGATTCAAATGCCTTGTGAGTTGATCTGTGCAGATTTAAATTTCTATATATAACCAACTCAATTATTTTTAAATGTCCAAATGCTTAGTTCAAATCAGGTTAGAAGACAAAACTCTGGGATATAGAGCCACTGAATTGTAACTTGAAGAAAAGTTTACTGTGATGCTACTTTGTAAGCAAGGCATAGATTTTTGCTTCTAAAATGACAGCACATAACTTCTGAAACATGTGAGTTAGGAGGTACATGGTAAAGGTGATCAATGAGCTGATGATTCCCAATAGTCTTGTGTAGGAAGCCCTGCTGCTCAGGTCTGGTGGGAAGTGTTGCGGTTGAGAAAACTGGCCAAAGTTGCTTTACTTCTCATGAATATTTTGTGAAAATAAAAAATGGATCTGAAGAGGAAGTAAGTTTCATTTGAGTGTTACTTTACCTTCCCAGCTGGTGTGAGCGCATGCTACCTCACAGCCATGTTTACACAAGCGTGCAAATGAAAACATTCAATGAGGATTTTGTTGTTGAATAGTGGTTTTGCATACCCCTCTCCTTCCAATAATGTCAGGTGCTGTAGTGAGTTTCCTCGTGTCCCCTTAATGCTGAGCATTAATGTTTCTGAATTTCCAGCTATAATAAAAAAAGATACTATTGCCATCTGTGCAGTGAGCACTGACTGAGATGAGGCCCTCTTGAGAGAGGGTGGAGAGGATAGGATCAGACAGAGGGTATAACACACTCAACAGCAAATCTTGTGGGGTAAACCTACAAGACATTTCAGGGTCTGCTTTGACTTTCAGGGTTATAAATGCTGATACTCCAGTAAGTTTGTTGTTTACAGTAACCTCTACCTTTTTATGCTTGTCTGTCAATCTGTAGAGAATCTGAATAATTAACAAAGGTATTTGATAAGCTAAAAACCACCAATGGGATTATTCTGCTTTGATATATTTGGCTGTGTGTTTGAACTTTATTGGATGCCAGAGACTGCCTCTGCATTGGTCAGACACTATATATGGGACCTACCTGTTGTTAAACCAATGAGGAAGTGTCATCTCAAACTTGACATTACCCACCTTTCAAGTACTTGACTTACTATGGTAGTAGTTGCTAAGCGTTATTTATCTCTTTCTGTTGATAAGTAAACAGTACCTGTGAAGTTTGCTTATAAGGCTTTAAATAGTGAGAATAGCATGGTGCCTAGACTGGAGCAGCTGAAGTGTGTTGAAATCACAACAATTTGTAGTCAATGCTCTTTCACTTTTCCATTGTGTTGATAGTGGAACCATCCTATGATGCTGCCAGACAGCAGGATGCTGGGAAACCTTTTTGATGTAGTATCAGTGAAGCTTCAGGGGCTGTTGATGGAGACCTTCCTCTTCTTTCATGAACAGTGCAACAGATGTGCTCTAGTGGTGCCTGGGACAGCTCACCTTCTCTCTCCCATTCTTCTGCTATGCAGATGTGAAGATCATGCCCTTAACACGGTGCTCCAGTCCTGCAAAAGGGACAACTGTTCCACAGTACAAGAGAGAACCAGGAACAAGACTTGCGTGTGGTCTCCATGCTGTTTCTGTAGTGCATGCCTGTTGATTTTTGTTGTTGTTTAAAAATGTATACCTTCAATATTGTGACACTATTGCAGGCTTGAGAGTCATACCTAAGTGCTGGGAATGTGTTTAGGAGACTCTCCCTATGAAAGGCACAATCTTGTACTTGATCCCAGGTCACTTTCCAAACCCTTCATTGAAAAGCTTAGCCATTTGAACACAGGTTAAACATTAATTTGCTCTAGCTCTAAATATTTAGGCAGCGCAGCATCAGGCAGCCTTGACTTTTCTCAATCATTTCTTAGAACCAAATTTAGTATAGATTGAGCTATTCTAGACAGCTTTTTTCCTGTAGTATGAACCTGCCAAACTTTTTAAGTGATAACATTTGAATAACATGATTTTATGCATTCTTATCTAACAATTTCTTGCTTGCTATGCAAACTATAATTTAAATCATAATTTTTCTAGCCTCTGTAATTGACTCTTGTACAAATACTTGTTTTAAAGCCTGCCTGGAATACTGCATACTTCAGTTGAAGTTGTTTATCATGTGGTGTAAGATTCTCATTTTCTGGAAAGAAAATGCTGAGTCTAGTTTTATACAAACAGCATGATTCATCCTACTTCGTGTAATTTTGCATGCTAGGTATTTTATTTGCTTGGTGCCCTATAGTTGTTAGAGGCAAATTGCTTCAGCAGAAAAATGTTAACTTTTTTTCTCCCTTTGTTACAGCAGAGCTGCCATTTTTCAAGCAAACTATTCTTGACTAAACTACCTGTAGTTATCAAGATGATAATGTTGCAGAGATGTTGTTCCAGGACATTCAAACTTCCTCTTCCTCTCTGCTTACACGAGAGGCACTTTGTAAATGAACAATAAGCATACTTTAGTTTTTCCTCTTATGAAATGACACTTAGGGATTTTTGGTAGCAAGAGAGAGAATCAGAAAAAGCAAAGAAAGTCCTGTTCTAGAAGTGCAATTGCAATAGCATGAAGCTGTTTATCACTGAAATGGGACTGTGGGAGGGAGGCTACTTTTTCTTAGGACTGGATGACACATGCATTGTTTAGAAGAGGGAATGCCTAGTTGGGTAAGATGACATTCACTTTCAAATGGATAGGTACCGTGGTTTATTAATGCTTACCTTTGGATAAGACTCTGGTGTTATGGGGTGTTTCTTAGTTCTAACTGTGTCGTAATTAGGGCAGGCACACACACTTGGTGTTTTCTGTTATGCACATACTTGATGACTGTCTGATTCTTGACGTTGTTCAGCAGAGACTTCTAGTCGGGACTTTTTTTAAAAGTGTTGATTGATAAACTTCTGGGCCCTACTGGAGAACTTCCACACTGAGTTTTAGTATACAAACATGCCAGTTTGGCGGCATAACCGACAAATACAGCACTAAGTAGTTTTTATGGAATTAACAAATATATTGCTAATGTCTTGCAACCCCAGATAGTGACATCAGAGGGCAGCCACTCTGCTCAAGGCACCGTATTCAAGATGTGCTACCTACAGGCAAATACTGCATATATGGCAGAACAGAAGAGTCTGTTTTGCTGTCTTGACCAGTTGTATTGCTTGAGTTTTGTACCTGACTGCAATGTACATGAAACAAAAGGATTTATAAGGTTTTCTTGTTCTTCTGAATTGAAGTTTTTGTTCACTTTTCATGTGGTTTTGTTGGTTTTATTTTACTGCTTAGTATATTAATTACCTAAGATATACTTAGGTATATATACTGGTTAGTATATTAATTACCAGCTACATGTTAGTTTCATGTAGGAAGGAGAAATGTGTGAAAGTGTCTCTACCTTTGCCTATTGATAATGGAGGTGAAGCTGGACCTTTGTCCTTTTTATTTAAACAGACTGATATGGATATTTTATAACAATAAAAAATTGCAGTAGTTCTCTTTTTACTGATTGGTTAGGTAAGAAATGGGATTAGGTAAGTATGTCATCTCTTACAGTAGTGCTGTTTGAGTGTGTTAAACACAGTTGTATAAAAGTCTATTTTTATTCATGCAACTTAATTTTTGTAAATTTACTATGATGCTAACAGATTTTCTGAATAGTATATATAAGGATAACTGATGGAGATATCTACCAGATGTTAAAAAGAACCTAATTTCAAATATCTTTCTTTTATAGGAAAAACCTCAGATAGAGGTCCATTTCCATTGTATGGTAGAGATACGGGGTTACCAGGCTGTCAAGTAAGTATAGTGATGATTAAAAGCAAATGGAATAATCCAAACTAAAGTTTAAATTTGTTAGTTGAATGTGTCAGGCTACAAAACATAATAAACAAGAATCCGTTCCACAATTTGCAGAATAAATTTTCTGGGTTCTGTGTGGTCCAAGTGCCTTGCACTTACTTACATCTACTTACAGGAAATACTTTTGCTATGCTAAAGTGGAACTGGTTCTGTAGCTCTTGAACATGAAGTCCTACGTTTTTAGTAAAAGGGAGATTGTTACTAGTCTGAGCATATTGAGCAATGTGCTTCAGTTGTGTGTATCACATCTTTCCAACAGATCATCATGAAATTAGTTTTCTTACCCTTTGCAGTACTCATTCCTCCCTCCAAAACTGCAAACAGAATTGCAGACCAATAATGATTGCACATCACAATTAGTCTCTGATACTCGGATTTTTCACATATAATTTGTCAAAAAATACCAGTAATTGCTGAATATAGTTCATTAGTTAACTGTTACTCCTAGTGGAGATTATGTGCATTTTTTAAGGAAAACAGTGTTACTAGGCTTTCAATTTTTAACAATGATGTTATCCAATGCAATAGTGTATAATTTTGTGGTTTTGACGATGTGGTTTTTAATAAAGAAAACTTTCTTTCCATGTCTCTAAATCTTCATTTTAGAGTAAAGATTTCTTCCGTGTTATTTCTAATGAGCCACATTAAGAATAGTCTGTTGATCATTGTTTAAAAGTCTGTTTTGAACGTACAGGAAGTTTGAATGTTTAAAAAGTATAATTAGCATTTGATTACACTCAGTATTTGCTGACAAAGATTTAAATAACTAATATATTATGGTTTTAATTCTAAGAAATTAATTTGTTATGCTTGTTTCTCAAGGAAGAATCTTTTCTAATTTTAGTGTAAGTAAACTATTTGTTTTGAACTGGTATTTTCAGGAACATCTTTCTGCTGCAGGATAAAACTTATCATATGAGTTTGACATCTTGGTTTTGAGTCTTTTAACTCATAATTTGGGAAGTGTGAATGCACCATGTGGCAATGCAGTCCTAACAGCACTTCACCTATTAAGAAAGGATCGTTGTCACAACCTTTACTACTTCTCTGCAACACAGATGTGACGAACAAAGACCCATTTATAACTGTATGAGTGAGTTTCAGTAACACACTCACAAAAAGCAGTATACCTCTTTAAGTTCAAGTTATGGGCTTCACATTATTGCCACTCCAGACAGTAAAATGTTGTATTAGTGTTATTACTATTGTTCAAATAACTCTGTACTGTATTTAAATATAATAACTTAAAGTTGACGTTAGTTTGGAAGCAAATTAATTTCCACGTTACTCTTTCATTAAGTTAATGTTCTGTACTGGAAAATGGGTTTATGTTAACTTTGCATAAAATTCCATTTTGCTTTGCAGTAATGAGTGTAATTTCTGTTGTTTGGCTTCCCACTGAGGAAAATGCTTTTATATCTCCTAATTGTTTATATCTAGTACCATTTAATATTTTTACATATAGCTATTCTAAAGCCAAAATCTTACACATATTTGTTTCTATTAATATCACTTCTAATTCTGTTTATTCCTTTGATATACTTCCTACTATTTCCTCTCCCAGTTTCTTCTTAAACATTTTTAGTATAGGGGAAAAATGTTAATGGGGGTAAATCTGTTTTGGTTTTATATTCAGGACAATAGAGAATTATCATAGAGTTAACTTTCAATTAAATTTTAATTCAATTTAAATTTATGTGATAAATTACAGTTTGTGCTTTAATTTGGTCTTATCTGTTAAATCTGACAGTGTTTGAAATCATTTGCTAACTTGGAATGTGGTGGGATTTCTGAATCTTTTCGGCTTTTTTACATTTTTCATAAATCCATGGCAGTGCCTGAAATACAGCTCTCATAGTAGGCACAATGTTTGAAAGCTGTCTTAGAGAAGAAGGTCAAAAGCGATCCTGAGAGGTCATTTTGACAACCCGAATGAAGAATCAGCTACATCGTCCCTGACAGATGCTCATATAGTCAATTCTTAAAAATCTCTAGAGATGGAGGAGACTGCATGACCACACTGGGTTTTGTATTTCCTGACTTAAACGTACTTGCTCTTAAAAAGTTTCCCTGATGGCTTATCTAAATATCGTAATTAAAGCATCTGACTCTTGTCTTACAAACCGCATACAGTAGATATTAAGATGATAAGGAGTTCTTAGAAAAGATAAGACATAAATGGAATTAATTTTTATATTGGTTTGTGTAGTACAGAATATAATGCAGGTATATTTTTTAATAGCAGATATGTAACAGGGGCTATCTCAGCTTGAAATACTGGTAGAAAACTTATGCTCTGCTCTGGATGTTCTCCAGTAGGTTCACAATGCTAGGGAATTCCAGTTTTTAGACTAGGTAAAGTACCTCATCTAAGGCCTAACCATTATGGCAAAAAGAAATTTCCTGGATCTTTCTGACAATACTGTTAATTTTTTGCTATGTGGTATTTGCCTTTTTCATAACAAATATCCAACCTTTGATACTTGCTTGATTGGTGATGGCCTAAAATTTCCCAATACCTTCTTATGGTAGTGTGGGCCAGCTTGTCATTCCTCAGCCTGTATTTTTCAGTTACCAGGTTCAATACGCAAAAAGTGTGTTTACTTTTTATCACATTCCTTTTACCTTCTCTAAATTTGTCAGTGCAATTTTGAATTCCAGGCTTGCACTGCATTTGTAGATCCTTCTGGGTTATTTGCTTTGTGAATTTAGTAAATGTGGTCTTCATTTTTCATCCAAGTCACTAATTAAGAGGTGGAATGATGCCCAAAACAGATGCCTGCAAAGTCTCAGTTAATACATTCACCCAGTGTTGATCGTGAACCCCAAGCTGCTGTTTTTTAAACAGCTGTGCTCTGTATTCAGCTGTAGTTTTAGTTGTCCTTGGTTCCTTAGTTCACCTGTGAAATGTGAAAGTAGTAAAAGCCTTATTAAAACATCTCTTATGCTATCTGAGAAGGAAGTGAGATTGGTTTTACATAGTTTATTCCAGCTGTATTCGTATCACTTCATCATCATCTTTTGGCATTTGCAGTCTATTTCTTCCAATATTCTTCCAAAAAATGAAAATTAAATTGGTGAGGAATTACAAAAGCCACTGCTTTTGTTCCTCCCTGAAACAAACCAACCAACTCCATTCTTTTTTAGCCTCTGCACTTTCTCTGAACCACGAGTTTTCAAAGACAGTGGCTAAGGTTTCTGAAATTCTGAGAATGGCAAGAGCTGGTCTTCTGAGTGTCTTATTGGGTACAGATGAATTGAAAATACCTAACTTCTCTAAATACTCTCTAACCTGTTCTTCTCTTACCAATGTTCTTTCCATATGTCATTGTTGTAAATAGTATTAACAACCTGGTGTGGATGTGTGGTGTGTTTTAATTTTAATTTCCTATTAAGTTTACAGAGGGCTGGAATCAAGACTTTTTCAAGACTGCTGTACACTGAAATGCTTAAGACTCTTACTATCACTTCTCACCCTTTACCAAAAATGATCTAAGCGGTGACTTGTATGGACTGAGAGCTATCTACAAGCTTCAAGTGTGATTGATTTTCAATGTAGCTTAAAAATCTGAGCAACTTAGGTAAAGAAATGTGATTCAGGTGTAACATTGTTTAGTCACAAGAGTGTAAATATGGCTAATTTATGAATATTTTACCAAACAGGAAGGGCATAGTTTCAGGTTTTATTTACATCATGTGTTTTAAGCAAGCCAAAAAAGGAGCAGCCTGGAGTATAGCACTTTGCACTGGGCCCATTCATGCAAATAACAGCGTTGAATAAGGTAGTTGCATTTGTCTGAAGCTGTGGGGTTTATATGGTTTAGTGTTAATAAGGTTAATGGTGCATGTGTGTGCGCGCGCTACATTAGCACCTGTGCTTGTCTATTGCTTTGCAATCAAGTTCTGAATCCTCTTCCATTTTTTGGCTTTATCTGTACTTCATATTCTTTCTCCTTCTGACAGGTCTTCACTATATGCTGTACCTTTCCAACTCTTACTGCCTTTTTTCTCTCTCCAATGTTTCTTAGAGTATATAGATTCTTAAGTGGTTGGGCAAGATGACAAATCAAGGCTTATGCAGAGCTGGTTTAGATGAATGTCAAAAACTTTTACCTGCACAAAGAATTGACAGCTTTTAGAAGAAATGTAAAAAACCTGTATTTTGCTATCAGAATGAAATGCAGTGCTACATGGCTTGACACAACATCTCTGTTTATGTCTTTGAATTGGAGGGGGGAGGGTGGTTTGTGATTTTTGTGTGGGATTCCACCGTTCCTGTGGGCTGTGTAATTGCAGATTTGGGGAGGGCATCTTTTCACAAATCTTAAATTGGATATAGATTAAGTTTTCAGAAAGTTTCTTGTCATAAAAAGGGTTTTCTTTACATTTGTGTTATTTAACACTGAAAACTGTAGCTTGTGTAAAAGAAATGAGATTAGACTTCTGATATTGAATGCATGACTCCCATGTCCAATATCATCAAAAAGGTACCCAGCTGTCACTGCACATTGCTTTGACAGGTCTGAGCTCTAAGAAAGCCAGGAATCTGCACTATTTTCAAAGTGAAATTGAGATAAATGTGCAATACACGTGTAGCTGTTAGACTAATTCTTCTAATTGTTTCTGTGGGTCTTCACAGAAGCTAACTTTATCCCCATGAGCCTGTCAGTGCCTTGGCTAATTGGGGCAGAGCGGGGAGGATGCTCCGTTAGCCCAACAGTGCCTGTTCTCATCTGCCTGGCAAAGGCTGTCCACTGGCATCACTAGGCTGAAGATAGTAAACTATTTGTGACTATCCCCTTAATGTTCTGTTTTAATTCTAAACAATCATGCACAAAATAGACATTATGGATTTTTTGACATGTGGAGATAACACGTTTACCCTCCCTTCATAATAATTTCTAGTCTGCATGCTATCCCATGTGTGAGAAAGGAGA